TGTTTTCAATTTCATTTCAAATAGATTCTCATACAAATCATTTAAAATTTTAGTATTCTCAAAGTTATAAGCCTTCACAATGAAAAACAATGCCATGTATCACAATAATCCATGGAGAGAATTGGGTTCAGCAGTTATAAAAGGATATACTGTAGCATCTGTATATCATCTAGCATCTTTTTTTTTTGTTCTCCTCTTCTTCACCTTTTAGGCCATAAAGGGGGTTTCCCATGCCATGGGGTGAGAACAGAGATTAAAGCCAGAGTTAAAAGGTTTCTCCAGGCACCTGGACGTGAACTCGTAATTATTTTGTCAACTGTCACTTGGTTATCAGGTTGCCGGGTAATGCACGGTGCTGTGAACACACATTAGCCTGTTCGGCCACCCTGTCCCTTGTCATCGAGCATCCATGATAAGGACAAATGCCAATTTCATCTTCCAAATGAAGGACCAAGTACTCACTTTATATGATGGGAAAGGAGGGAGGGGGGGGAGGGGGGGAGATTTGCCTAACAATTATATAATAGACTAGAGCAAGAGTCACCAAACTTTTTGGCCTGGAGGCCACATTGAGAATTCCATCGAAATCCCACGGGACATGGCATATGATGTAAAAAAAAAATTCATGTTCTATAAATGACACTTCAGTTGTGAAATGAGCTTTCTCAGAGACCAACAATATGTAATATATGTTATTTTAACCTCTTGTGTGAGTAATTTACTAAATTTCATAATTTTGTAATAGTTTATAAAATTTTATCATACAATCAAAGAATCTTTCGCAGTCCGGAGCAGAAGTGCTTGCGGATCCGGATCCGGCCCGCAGTTTAGAGACCCCTGGACTAGAGGGAGGAGGAACCCCATTTGGCCTTTTACATCTCTTGCTCCTCTGTGCCTCCAATCCTACAAGCTCTTTCACTATTTCCCACTTAATATTCTAAACAGAAGCACACTTTCCTTAATAGTAATTATGGGAGCATGTGATAAACAGTATTTTGTTATTTTATCATACCAAGGCAATACTTTGTCTTAAGTCTGTATTGTTCTGTCTTTCATCAGAAAATTGTGAATAATCCTATATATTATCATGTATAATATTTCTTTTCAGACAATGAGATGCTTATAAATTTATTAAATCTTATGTTGAACTCTATAGAGAGAAAAAATTAGTTTATTTTTGTTTTTATCTAAAAAAAAAATATCATTAAACTTAACTTTCTTTCATGATTTATTAATCTATTACTCACATTTTATATACTTTTTTTCATGTTTCGGGGCCTTATCCATAACCAGACTCAAAAGCAGGTTTATTGGTCTTATCTACTATTCCTTTTTAAACAAAGCAAAAAAAAAAAAATCTTCAATGTCTGGTTATGTTTCTAAAAATATCTGTGCATGTGAAAACCATAACAAAAAATTAAACAAGATAAATGTAATCCATTTTGAATCATTGACTAAGTCATACCATCATAAGTTTATTATGTACTTCAGAAATAAGTCCACTTGCCATCCTCAGATTATTGTTTGTTGGTAAATAAGCTATCTAACGATTTTGTAAAATTTAAACATTTTCATCTCTTAAAGTTAAGAATAGTAATTGCAGAGGATCCAACAAACTGACCTGGTAAATATGGATTATTGCTACAATAATATTAACATTCCATGGATTACTCTTTAGTTATGAGATAAAATAAATAATCCTACTTTTGATCGTGTTTGAAAAGGATTAATTTGATAATTTTATTGTTCATGTTGAATTTATTAAATGAGAAATGAACTGTAGACAGGTATGAAGTAACTAGGGATAAGATGTCCGAGCACATTGGGGTAAGAATACCCAGTCGTAAACATTGCATGTTCAACTTCCAACTGGGTCAGATAATATTTATTTCATAGTGGCCCTGAAAAATGAATTGTGGTTCTCACAATATGTCCAGTATGCGTTGGTAATCTCTAGGTGGCCATCAGGGGTCGGTAAAAACTACATTTAGGTCTACTTGTCTTGTTTTCCCCAACAGTACTATTATTTAGTAACCAGGAGTGAATCCAGACCTTACGAACGATCAAGCTACTATGTATAGTCTGTTTACCACTTGATCATTCTCTGATAAGCTGTAAAAATATTTGGTCTTCCCCCCCAAAAAAAGTTTCATCTGAGAGACTACATATTCAACACTTAGTTTTTATATTTGTTGGCCTATGTTAGGAAAGTTTGTTTGAATCTTTTTACATTAAAATGAAATCATTTATGTTATTTTAAATATGTCAATTTTTATTTTTTCAACAACCAAAGATAAAATAATAATTGTAATTTACAAAAAGAATAATAATAATTTAGTTGAATTTTATGATTTCATTTAATTTACTCTTTTTTTAGTCACACTAATTCTAAGAACTTCCTTTAATATTTTGTTCAGTGGTTGTTTATTTTCTCAATTTAAAATCTCTCTTTTGCTTTTTAACTTCAATATTAAGGAGAGCAGAGGGACATTAGGGGTTTATTGCAATCACCAGCTAATCCAGGATTTTAAATACAACTGTAACTATGCTGGATGAGAAAATAAATACATATATTAAATGAAAAAAAAAAAAATAATATGACTGTTAATTTGTGTAAACAATAATGTTATTCTTAAGACATATTCGTCTGGTAATTTTATGCACTGCCATTCACAAAGTGCCGGCATCTCTTTATCTCCGTTAGGTAAGAATTAGTGTTAAAAGAACAAGAACTAATTAAGATTAAGTCAAAAATAAACAAAAATAATTTATAGATATTGGTGAACTTGAAGTTTTACACCTTAAAGTCCCAAAAAACGAACAAAAGTCAATTATTTTCTGTAATATACAAATGATGAATTTTCATTTTGTAAAATGACAAATATTTGTCATGCAAACGAATATGTGTTAAGGGACTTCATCCCAGAATAAAGTTGATTTTTTATTCAATTCTATTAAAATGATATTAAGTTCCTTTCAGACCTTTTAAAAAAGTAAATAAAACAAAAATGTAATTACAGAAACAATAATAATTTTAGAGGCTGTGTGCTTACATTTAGTAGCTGTATATGTATTATAATTTTAAAAGAGTATATATTGTGCATGTTGAAATATTTAGTTCAGACTACCCACAGAAGCAAATATATACCAATAAAAAAAAATATCCATTTTGAGGTCTTCATCCCAAAAGCCCCTCGCCTCTCTCCTATGGATCCACCAATGGTTGCAATCATTAGGGTAGTGAAGGTTTGTAACAAAAGTTTTGAGAAAAACTCTAGATAATGTAAGCTGTAAAAAAACAATATGTTGCTTACCCTGAAAAAATTTAAACCAATTAAAAGCAACTCTAGAAATTTTCTTTATTTTAAATTTTATAATAAACTTTTTTATAATAAACATTTGCTTTCAACTAAATGTTTTCACTTGATCAGAAAACACGAAAAAACCTTTCGATTTGAATAAAGTAAAGTACAATTTTAAGGATTTTTTTTTAATTACAGAAAAACATTTATATATATTTTTTGATTTTATGAAATTGTTCATCTGAATTTGATAAAGTTTCATTGGGTTGCTAATATCTAAATTTTAAAAAATGTGTTAAACATGTATGTTATATAATTTTAAAACTATTTTGATGTACAATACCAATATACTGTATATAGATAGTATTTAATATAACATTGCATTAATTTAATACTGCTATCTAATTAATATCTATTTTAATGTTATATTATTTAACCAATGTTACTCAAATAGTTTTTAGTTAATGCTTCCTATTTAAAAAAAAAAAAAGTTGACAAGCTTAAAACAACACAAAATTTAAAATTTAATTTAATATCTTTTATCACTTCTCTAATTTTTTGATATTATATGCGCATTAGCCATTTTTTTTTGTTTTTTTTTTAATATATAAAACATGGATAGGTGGAAATCTTCAAAAGACACGATCACACCCTGTGTGTGTGTGTGTGTGTGTTTGTGTGTGTGTGTGTGTGTGTGTGTGTGTGTGTGTGTGTGTGTGTGTGTGTGTGTGTACGTGTGTGTGCGTCTGCGTGTGCTCGTCCATGCTTGTGTAAAACTTATATGTATGAAGAGAGAGAGTAGTGGGAATCAATTGCAATTTAACCAATTTAATAACATCAAAAGTATGATTATTTTAACAAAATATTTTAAGCAGGATCATTAATTAGTGATTGAAAGATAAAAAATATTAGTCATTTGGTAAGGCAAGTTTTACCAATCAATGACCTTGGATTAAATCCATATTTACCAGCTTTCAATAGATAACAACTCTTCAAACTAAAAGTAATTTGAAAAACAAAAAATAAAATCCTTTATAAAATACTCTGTGCAATCTAATGTGATTGTTATAAAAATTAGTTAGGTGCAAAATAAAAAATGAGGATATGATATAACAATGTATCAACAATAAATTAAAAAGCTTGTGTGTGTTTTTGTATGTGTTTATATATACATACTATTTCATAAGCTCATCAGTGTTTATAAAAGCCACAGTTTATGATTATATATATACTCATCTATTTTTCATAAACTGTGGCTCTTCAACATTAAACACATCTAACACTGTTGAATTTCAGCTTCAGCAAATTGCTCTTTTATCTTTCCTTTCAAGCCAAATTTTATATACAGATTTTGTGTTTCACCATATCTGCTGAAAATCAAACCGTAAACAGTGTTTAAAATAATTTAAAAAATATTGCTGGTTAGATTTCTTAATTATTAGTTAACTATGTTTTTGTATTAATAAAGTAAATATCAAAAATTGTATTATGCTCATATATATATTTAAGGAGAAGAGAAAGAGAGAAAGGAGGGAGGATAATCTTATAAGTAAATTAGTAGTGATGAAGAATTGTCTTAAATTGAAAGTAAATCATAATTTAAATATACTGTTCAGTTTAGAGTCATGAACTATTTTTCACATAATAGATAATTCAAAGGACATGAAATTATCTAAAAGCGTCAAAGTCATGAAGGTAATTAATGCAAAAATATGATAATGCTAAATCGGTGCTCTATATATATGGAAGTGTAAAGAGTTTTCACAGTTAGTAGCCAAAATATTATCAGAAAAAATGAGTAAGTAGAACCAAATATAATTTTTTATGTGTTTTAATTAATACATGTTTGCTATAATTATTTTATTATTATAGGAAACATTTTAGTTGGATTTCTTGTTATTGCAAGTTGTGGAGTAGTATATTCATCACCGATTCCTGATAATTCAACACCATCTTTCCAAACGGTGTCATCTTCAACAGAAAAAATTGCTAATGAAGCACATTCAACTACAACAGCAAAAAAAGAAGAAAAAGATATCGCCCCTACAACTCCAAGTACGACAACTAAACTTCCAGAGCTTTCAAAATCAGTTACTGAAAATCTTTCTGACAAAGGATTGGGTGCAACTGTGAATACAGCAAATAAAAATGAAGCCTTTACTTCATCGACTCACAAACCAGAACCATCAAGTAATAAAGGCGAAACAAAAGATCTAACTTCAACCCTTGGTCTTAAAGGTGAACCGATTGGCAGTTCATCTCTAAACCACAAACAGGAAGCAAAAGAAACAACTACTACATCTTCAGGCTCCAAGGTAGAATCGACTAACTCTTTAGCTGCAGGCCAAAAAGGACCAACAACTATAAAACCTGCTGATGGAGATAAGGAAAAGAAACCTAATAATAACCAGAAAACTACTAAAAATTCAACTGCATACTTAGACAAAGGTAAAAATTGTATTTGCTAATTAGTATTAGAATTGTATATTGTTTTTCAGTACAAAACGATCAATTAAGGCCTTAGTTCTTCTTTGACTCCTAGTTTTGGCTGTTAATGATTATATATGTATATATAAGAATAATTGCATTATCGATATTTGGAAGAATCAATATTTCATATAATTATATGAAATATTAATTCTTCCAAATATTGATAAGGCAGTGATTCTTATAAGTTTTATAAACTCATTTTTTACAGAAAAATTAATGAAAATCAGTTTGCTTCAGGGTCATACTAAATTAATCTAAATAAATATTGAATAAAGGTTAATATATTATTCTCCAAGACATACGATTACCAATTACATGATAATTGCAGCTGTCATCATGATTGTCGTAATATCCCCCATTTGCGTTATAGGAGTTATTATTACAAGCAGTTATATATTTAATATTTACTTAGCTGTAGACCTGACATATCATAGTTATTTAATATGATATGAGTGTTGCAGACACAATAATGCAAAAACTGTTTCATGCATTTTATTTAATTATTTATTTTTTATTTTTTTATCTATGTACATCTTTATGATAAAAAAGTAAAATAATGTGATTAGTTAATTTAAATAAGCCAGCATTTAAGTCAGTATATACATTTATTTTATTTTCTTAGGCAAGGTAGTAGTATTCAATGGCATTTGTGGTCCAGAGGGATGTGAAATCGAAGGAGATATTTATGATGAACTAGTGCCTCTGCCTCATGCAAAAACACAAGGTTAATCAATTTTACTTAAGACATGCTGGTAATTTTTCAATAAGCAGAATATATATAAATACTTTCACTCTGTCTATTATATGCTAAAAAATATTTTTAAATTATATATAATGAAGATACCAACAACAATCTTGAAATTTTGTAAACAATTATATTATTTACTAAATATTAATCATTGTTTTTAATCCAGATTAAATTAGAACTAAGGCCTAAGAAATATTTATTATTATTTATTACTAGTAGTATTTTGTATGTAATGAAATTTCTATTATGAATTATGTAATATATAAGTATTTTTTTAAATGTTTAGTTTACTTTTATACCCTACAGCATAAATGCTTATTTCATAGAATAGTTTGCTCTCAAATAAAAAATTGAAACTTCTATAAATTCATATCATTGCTTTGTCATTTTGAATAATACTTTTTTATGTAGTTTTTTTTTATTAATTTTTTCTACTGTCAAATAATCAAAGGAATGGTTCTCATTTTATAATTTTAGTTTTGGTGAAACATTGTGCACCAAAACATGACCAATTATTGTGTAAATATTTGTAAACTGTAAATGTCATTTAAATAAGCTTACTGTTATTATTGAATAATAAAGGTATATATTTTTAGACTTAAAACTTTTTGACTCATACGTTCATGAGAAATTTTAGAAGGTTAAAGGTAATAACAGTGAAAAAACAAAATAATCATAAATAGATATATAGAAAATCACTAAAACAAATATCATGAATTACATATCAACTTCAGTCAAGCTAATCTAGTGACATCAATTTAAAACACACATATATTACTCATTGGATTTATTGCTTCTAGGTTATAGCTAACAGAATTTCATATCTTGAAATAATTTAACTCTTACTTTTAAAAATTAAATATCTTTTCTAATCATAAATTTATATAAATTTATTTATTTAAATTTATAAATTTATTTATATAAAATAAATTATATATATATATATATATATATATATATATATATATATTATTATTTATTTATTTATATATTATATATATATATAAATATATATATATATATATAATATATATAATATATATATTGCACTGCTTAGGTTACTATTAAGACTACAAGATATCACCAAAACTGAGCTTAACTATTTTAAAAAATAAGATTTATAAAGTTTCTAAAATAAAATATTAATAATATGCTTAAATAAAAATGGAGTTATTTTATAAACTAGATTTTTTTTTTATTTGTTTAATCTGTATGCCACCATATAGTCTAAGTAAAATAGTATTATAATACACTTGGAAAAGATAGCCAGAGAGAATCACTTTATATTCATAAAAGGGTGCTGCCAAGCATACTTATCAGTCAATATAATGGACAATTTCTAAAACAAATGCACAGTACCATCAATATATATGAGCATAGAAATAATTTTTTTTTTAAATTTAAATCAAATATTTAAAAAACTTTTCAATCGATTATATCTTGGTTGGGAGTCCTGTGGCATCTAGCCTGATCAATTAATAATCAATCTTAAATGCATTTTACATTCTTCAACAGATCAGTTTTCCTCTGAAACTAATAGGAATATATAATATAATAAATAGATCAATAGACTAATGCCACTTCCTGAACTTCCACATGTTTAAAAAACTTGATAGCCAGAAACATAGCAGAACATAGCTAAAGGAATATAGCTCTTCAAAATTCCTGTACAGATCTTTTCCATATGTTGGCTTACTTTAAAAAGAAACAGAGATATATATCATTAGGTTAGATGTAAAAGTAATCAAATGATATTTTTATGAAGATGACATTTTTTTTAAATCTACCAGTCTAAAGAAAAATCTGTGCTATTAAAAGTTAACTATTGGTAATGTTACAATTTTGACAATAATGAAGTGTAGAATAGACATAGGGATAGGTAAATAGCAAAAATATCCACACTTTTCCAAAATGGTACTTGATCACTTTTACATCTAATCTGATAATATTGCAAGTATTATTTAAAATTGTTTTTAAATTTTTAAAAGGAACAACTGGTATTGGAATACTGATTCATGAATCTTAAAATATATTTCTATAAAATATACATTTTTTCATTAAAATGATGTGAGTGTGTATTGTAAAATTATTGTATTTTAATTTAGTTTGGTTCTATTCATAATCAATTATATTATTTCTTTAAATGATCATTAAGTATAATATTATTCAATAATAGTCATCATTCTTAAAAAGGGATTCTCATTTAAGAAGAGTGGGCGCTGTAATCTATTTATGTTCTATATCCCCACTTATGTTCCAGATTATTAGTAATAATTTGCTGTTTGAATGGCTTATGACATTCATTTGATAACTGCCCATTACAAGTTTTTTATTTTTTTTGAGATTATCTAAACTTATTTTATTTTAATAACAATTTTTAAAATATTAAATTAATATAAACATTTTAGTATTTGCATATTGTTACAGTCTATCATATTATTCACTTTATATTTCAACTTCCAAAAAACAGTCAACATTTTTAATATTGTTGAAGAAGATTCATATTTTTAATTTTTAACAATTCATTACTCTTCCTGGTAACATAAAACACAGTTATATGAATGAGATAACAGAGATTAAAACTCCAGATCAATTTTTCAGTTCTTTCTTTTATTTTTTTTATCAGCATGCTGCTAATTAACACACCATCCAAGGTATCTGTTAATGTTGGCTGTGTTCCAGTGTTGAGTCCACATAATCACTTGTTATCAATACTGCCAAACTGTTACTGAGACCACACTGATGTTGAACCTGTGGAAGGAGTAGTAGAGAATTATTTCATTTCATATTTTAGTGCTTGGTGAAACTTATCATGCAGTGATACGTTATGGTTCTACCAGATCTGATGGAAAGTGAAGATGATTTGAATGACTATGTGAAACTTAGGAATATTGAAGGAAAAATACCAATTAAAAAAACCTGTAAACATGAAAATTTTGAAGAAGATAAGGGAGAGAGCATCGATGAAAATCCTATATCCCCAGAAAATAACACTGAAACTGAAAAACAGGAGTTGGATAATTTAAATGATGTCACTGCAATCACAGAACAAGAATTGCATGTTGAAAATGATAATGAATGTGAAAGGAAAACTCCTGAAATAGATAAGGTAATATTTTGAATTTTTTTTTTTCCCCCCTGAAATAACGTGACAGCCTTAACATCAATTTTTTAAATAAAACTGCTTAAATATTCAATATTTTGAGAAAGATAAATACATACTTATTTAATAAAGGTGTTAAAAAATATATTACTTCTATACTCTTTTCATTTTATTATAACGACTTATTTAGGACATCATATTGTAATAATCATAATTGTTTTCTTTGTTTTGGATGTTAGTAAAGATACTATTAAATAAGAATAAGAATATTAGTAAAGATTTATGTGAGAATGAAATTAATTTAAATGAAGTACTTAATTATTAACGAATTATTTTAAATATGTTAGTTTTTTCAAGCTGTTATTGACATCAATTAAGAGTTTACTAGCTATCAGTCAATTTAAATTCATGAAACTGTTTGTGTGTCTTAGTACTTCATTTTAGCACATGTTAATCTAATGCAAATAAAATAACCACAATGGAATTTAAAATGTTTCTACCTAAAAGTGGCTTCACAGTTTAAGGCATATTTTTTTCATAGAAAAAACGTTGGAATTTCGTTGTAAGAAATGAAATAAAAGGCAGTTCAATTGTACCCTTTCTTTAATTTCAGAGCCTTCCGATAATGTTTTTTTAGTTTTTCATAACTAATGAATTTTCAGATAGTCAAATCAATAACATTAGACTTATGTTTGTTTCTGCATGCTATACTTTTATTTAATGTTGGAAAAAACAACGTTCGAAATGTAAATCATAAAATATATGCTGTGAAACTTTCTTGAAAACAGATCAACAACAAGTTCCAAATATGTTAGCTATTAATAGATTCGACTCCAATTCCGCCACTTCCGTAACCCTACGTCTTCCATTTTTACTTTACATCTTTTCTCCTGAGCAACTGTTATTAACATTTCGATGCAGTTTTAAAAGTATACAATGTATAAATGCTATTTGCCATTTTTTTTTCATTTTCTTGTATTGTAGGTCATTCAGTTATTATTAATTGATAAATACTATACATACGTAATTTAAAGCAAAGAAAGAATTTAAATCATTTTGATCGTTTATTAATCATAAAGAATAATATACTGTGCCAATCGATTCGTCATTTTTATATTGTTATACATCAAAATATCTTTTAAAATAATACAGTTACTACAATGTAAACTGTTAAGTAACCATGACCACGAGCTGAGCACATCGATGCCATCGTTTTGCTGAATGTAGAGACGGGCCCGATATCATTGAAGAGCTCAGCGTCGAGTTTAAGAACTAGCTCCATGTTATGTCCTAGGATAACAAAATAATGTAGGTAGGTCTGTTCAAAATTATCTGATTTAATAAAAACGCGAATACAAGACGATCAAAACAATCATTGTACAGCGAAACATATATCCAACCACACTTCTCTTTGAGAACAATTATTAAATTTATCTGCCTAGAATAGGATTTACCACCTTTTATAATGAACATCCCATTAACGAATAGAACAGGCTAATTTTCGTCATCTAAATACATATTTATCTCTGTCATGGAATATTTACAAAACATGAAAATTAAGAAAACCATATTTAACAACTTTGTGTTTTGATAAATAAGACCATACATTTAACATATACGATCCAGGACAAAACACATTACAGGTATGATAAAGTCGCTGAAGATGAAATCGAATTTCGTTTATATAAGCAAAAATCACAACATCGTGAGAGATATTTTCTGAGATATAGTTTCTGACATATTTTAATCCATATCTTCAAAAAAACTCGTTATAATTTGGTCTTCGTCACTATTATTTCCATGTTCGCCTCTCTAACACAGCGCCGCGTTAAGATACTGTTTTGAATAATAGCTCATTACAAAGAGGATGAAATACTGGACAATCCTCTTGCCTACATTATGCAGGTCATATTTTAAGTTTTTGAGATATTTTAACCCATGTGAAAAACACTTAGTCGACTCCAGCCGGCTTTACCCGAGCTTAATACATCGGAGATCTGGAGGCTCAATCTAATTCACTGTCCAAAAAAAAGTCCAATACGCGCCGAAAGAATTTTCACTTCAAAAATTAAAATAATTTTATGACAGAAAATAGGATACAATTGAATTCACAAAGTGACTGTCTTTCTTGAAAAAAATATAGAAAATTCAAAGGAAACGAAGTAAATAGAAATTATTCATTTTTTAAAAATGTTTAATAATATAAAGATATATCATCCTGTTAAAGAATAAAACTAACACGTCACGTATGCGAAGTATTCAGTTGGATGTCATGTAGTGATGTGATCTTGGATTTTTTTGTCCTAATAATGTGTGGTTGTCAAAAGGTTGAAGGGTGAGTTTTATTATTTACCAGTTTTTGTTGGATTTTTCAAATTATAATATAACATCTCATTTCTGTCTCTTGTTTAGTTGTTTACTCTTTTATACATATACATACATGTTTTTTATTACTGTTAAATATTGGTTTATTACTCTTGATGTGTGTGATTGGTATCGAGTTGGAATACAAGGTACATTTTAAGAGTGGCATAGTATAAGAATGGAAATCTGTTGAGTAATGGGTATTATAGAAAATCCTTTTTCTGATGATAAAATTAATTTTATCTAATACTTTTATTAATTTTGTTTAATACATTTACTTTAACACTTATTGACATAATTGTTAATATTATATGTCATATCTTATCATGTTTTTTTTTTCTTTTTAAGGAAACCGAGAATAAAACGAAAGGTATCCTGAAATACGAAAGAACTTATTCAAATAAACATGTAGATTTTAACATGGACTTGGAGTTTGTACCATTTGATGAGTCCAAAGATTACACTATTGATATTCAAATAGTAGAACAGATGCCTAAAAAAATAGTGTCTTATGCGGCTCTGTTTGCTCAGCAGAAAAAAGAAGAAGAAGATAAAATCATGAGAGCAGCAGAAGAGAAGGAAAAACAAAACCGTAAACATAATAAGAAAAGGAAATATCAAGAATGGAAGAAATATCGGAAGCAAGAAAAAGAAAACAACTCGCTGATTCAAGATATTAAACATAACATAAGTCATCTTACAGAAATTGATTCGGTTGAAAACCACCCGAGCACAGAAGACGAAATGGAATCTGAAAGGGAAGATTTCAGTGAAAATAGTTATCATTCTGATACTGATATAGAAGAACATTCTGAAACTACCGCAAATGCCGAAAATGAAGGCGCTATGTGTGTAGAAGACGACGCCTTCACAAATCAATCAGAAGAACCAAAATTAGAATGCAAAACACCAACTGATGATTTGAATATACCTTTAAGCGATACTGAGATTGGGGCTGAAATCAAGGAGGCGTTTCATAACGAACATAAAGAGAGCAAATGCCAAAACAGTAGCAATGAGAGTTGTGGAAATACTATGATTACCGAAAATAATGCTGATAATCAACAGTTCGTTTGTGTGCCTGCGAAAAAACAACGATCGAACAGCCTTTCAAACATAGACGACTTTAGGAAACCAAAGCGCTTCGTAGTTCAGCGATTGCCCCGGGAAATGGAGCTCATAATCTGCAAGCAGCTCGAAAAGCAATACTACGAGTAAATAAATTATCATGGAAAATTCTTATAAAAATAAACAATTCGAAGTTGTGTATTGATGTAGATTTGATATACTCTGTAAATATTATGTTAAGCGCTTATTATTATTAAATATCACGAAGTACACTAATAAGTGACACGATAAATAATGTTCTTATGAGCTAAAATTTTAATACTTAACTATTCCATTAGGAAACTTTTTCTAGTAATTTTAATTAAAAAATCAATGATGTATTGATACTTATGTTCTAACTAAATTATTTAGCCATAATTATTAATTCATAAAATTAACGACAAAACAATAATTCCTTATTTTCAGGATTTCACATTCTAATTGACCGAACGACAAGTAATATTGTCAAAGATTGCAGTTTTACGTTCTAGTTTTACGTTTTAGAATTTCACGTTTGTAAGTATATATTATTACCATAATAAAGAAAAACATAGGATTTAACTGTGGCAACATATTTTTTTTTTCTTATATAAAAAACTGGAAAGCAAATATAATAATATGAATTGATGTTTTTAAACTAAGCTAAACTTTCTTAAGAAATTAAAATGTTAGATTATATAAAAATGTTAATCATTTTATTTTCATAAACTTAATCATTTCTGTAATTACTAACGTTGAAAATATAGCATTGTTTAAAAAAAAAAAATTATAAAACGCATCGGGTGCATACCTCCCCTCTCGTAAGTCGTAGTCCAGTAAAGTAAACAGCCTTACCCCAACATTCAAAAAATTAACATGAAATTTGTTTCAAGAAATTTTTTTCAACCCTCCCTATAATAACTGGTAAAAAGCAAATATGGGCAAATGCTACTCAATTTACTCAAATACAGACCTCATTTGGGTACCAAAGAATTTAATTACTACTTAATTTGAAGTCAAACGATTAGCTGAAGTAGTGATTGAATTCCTAATAGTGATTTAATTTAAGTAAAATGCTTGGTACTCGGTACTCAAAGTAGCATTTGCCGGTCTCTGGTAAAAAGTCCCAAAGAATCCCGCGTCGGGTTTTGATGAGGGAAAGAAGGACAGAAAAGTGATTTTTTTAAGCTTTTTAAGAATATCTCAAAAACTGTGAGATTTATCGCAAATATTGTTCAGTATATAATTAAAGTACTTTAAAATCTCTATAAAAATGATCCTATACATTCGTTTGATAAAATCAATGGTTATGGGGCTATTTATGAGATTATATTTAGTGTATTTTCACTTTAAGCAAAAATTGCTTCAAACCACATTGTTCATAGTAGACGATACCTTCTTAAGGTGTTATTCATTTTTTAAACATATTTGATCCTTCAAATTATTATCCAAAGTTTCTTTCTTTTAATGATTCTAAAAAGTCATTGACAACATAATTATATTCGATATCAATCAATGGGGAATTTCGTGATAATGATATGACGTTTAGATTGACGTTAATTTCATATATGTAATAGAAGATATTAAAACTAATAAAAATTTACTATAAACCATGGTCTGATTATATACAGAAAACTTAAATTTTGTAATTTTTAAGCCAACCAGGTTGTATGTTGAATAAAAAGCAATAATTAAAAAAATGTTTATTTGAGGTTACAACAAATTCCTTCATAGTAATCTAGATTAAATACAAGCATATCTTGTATATTTTAAAACCATTTAAAGGGGACTTTTAAGCAGTTAAACTACGGTATGTTAGATTTTTCATAAAATCAAGGATTCTTCGCGATTTTTTTTTTTTTTTATAACCTCCCAACTGGACTGAAGATACCACACTTTCAGAAAAACTTCCTTGTTTGATGAGCTTCTCAAGTCTATATTAATCAAGTTGTGGTCTGTTACACAGTAAGTTGAGATTCATCCATCCCTAATTGAGTTAAAAGATGAAAAAATATTGGAGTCGATTCCTAATTTTACCGTACTAATAATATTTTTACTCAATTAAAGAAAATATAAACTCAACTTAACTGATATAGGCCTGAAGATCGTCAAACAAGGACGTTTTACTGAAAGTGTGGTATCTTCAGTCCAGTTCAGAGTTTATAAAACAAATCGCAAAGAATCCTTGATTTTATGAAAAACCGAACTTACCGTAGTTTTTTACTGCTTAAAAGTCCCCTTTAAATGGTTTTAAAATATACAACATTTACTTTTATTTATTTTAGATTTAATCTAGTTTACTATGAAGAAATTAATTGTAACCTCAAATAAACATCTTTTTAATTATTGCTTTTTATTCAATATAAAACGTTAAATTAAAAAATTTAATTTTTCTGGTTTCTGTGTATAATCAGTCCATGATTTATAGTAAATTTTTATTAGTTTTAATATCTTCTATCACATATTATCAATTGTATGAAATTAATATCAATCTAAACCTGAACAATATCAATTTTGTGGCTTGAAGCAATTTTTTCTTAAAGTGGAAATACAATAAATATAATATCATAAATATCTACGTAAGCATTGATATTATCAAAAAAAATGTATAGAACCATTTTTTATAGAAATCTTAGAGTACTTTAATTATATACTGAACAATATTTTCCAAAAACCTCATAGTTTTTTAGATATTCTTAAAATACTAAAAAAAAAAATATAATTTTTCTGTCCTCTCCCTCTCTCTCATCAAAACCCGATGCAGAATTCTTTGGGACTTTTTACCAGTTATTCTAGGGAGGGTAATGGACAATTTCTGACCAGTTTCATCTTTATTTTTTTTATGTTAATCCCTAATTTTACTGGGCTATCGAGGACTTCCTAACTGCTATATCTCGTTAATGTCAATCCCTTCCACCACAGAACAACTCCCACAGATGGTTTATTACACTAGGGACAATAAAATCTACTATATATAATTATTTCATTTTAATTTTCAAACAACGGTCCTAACCCGACAATTCTAAAAGATCACTTATTAAGAGCAATCCAAGGGAAATTCTGACCATCAGCACACTTTCAGACGAATGCGCAAAACAGTTTTTCCGTACCAAAAAACATACTGCGCATGCGACTGATAGCTGATAGAAACTCGTCTTGGAACATAGATATATTATGGCTTAAAAAAATATTATCGACTTACATTAGTTCGCAACTCTCCCCTCCCCTACTCCCAGTGTACATCCCTGATTAACACAAAGCTTTTAATGCAAATGACATCCTCATTTTTCAAATCTTACATTTAATGTTTGTGTATAGTATTTTTTGTTTTAATAAAATGAATATTTGTATTATTGTAACAAATTATATATATATATATATATATATATATATATATATATATATATATATATATATATATTTATATTTAACTCCTTTGCCTCCCAGTTTCATTAAAGCTATCTCACCAATAAATCTTAGGAATCCATAAAACTTTAAACGTGAAATTAGGAAAAAATAAAGATAGATACATACTTTTTATGTTGTCAAAATATTTGTTGTTGGGTTATTTTAAACATGTTATATTTGTAAATACATTTTCAGTTTGATAAAAATAAAATAAATAATTATAAAAACAGTCTTGATTTGATGAAATGTTATATGTTCAGAATAAACTGTATTTTTTTATTTATGCTACATTTAATAGTAACCCCATTCTAATTTATATATTTTAAGTACATCAATTCAATATATAAATATTTTATAACTAAAGGAGGAGGTATACACATTAAAAATAAATTAAAAAGAGAAAACGGGAGTTTTGAAAGTTAGAATCAGGTAGTAACCTAAGTTTATGATTAATAAAAACAAGATGTGATTTTACGAACTCTTTGTACCTTCAATTATTCATTGTTCTAGAGTTATATTTTTTACAGGTTTCACAACTTCGCACGTCACACTGCTTTTCTATAGGTCACTGTCTATGACAGTTAATAACTTTGTGTTAGAACATTGTTGAGTTATAGTAAGTCAAATTCTACGTTGAAGCCCTCCATACTTTTTAATAAACTAAATAGTTTATTAATTAATTAATCAGTTGATTATTCAACAGTGCTAGAATCTGAATGTGAAATTGTTGTTGAGATGTCAGAGAGGGCTTCAAAATTCCGTTTTGTCAAAATACTGGATTGGGCAATTCTTAAATGGTACATACCGCCATGAATTACACCGCTGCGTTCCTTAAGTTTAATAGAAATGGATGTTGAATTTATATTCTTAACAGTTTTTGATTAACTGTTTAATCAGAATACGAACTTTAAAAAAAAAAACCAGTACCTACCCACAGGATGAAAATCTCGAATAAAATTAAAAATTAATTTTTAAAAATGAAATAATTAATTTGTTGCCTCATTTATTACCAAAGTGAACCCTAATCGCTATTCACAAATTTTCAGGAAACGCAAAAAACTATTCTATTCCAATTGTAGTATAAAAAAAATCTATTATGGAAATAAAAATATTTCCAAAAATCTTCTGTAGATCATTCCAGTCGTAATTAAAACTTGAATAGAGTCCCTTTTAAAAGTAAATTAACTGCATTGTTTGTTTTTTAATTTAAAAAAGTTTTTAGGGGTTTGTTTTGTAGAGAAAAAAATGGTTAATGATTTGGGGAGGAAGTTAAAAAAATTGTACAATAAAATAAATTTATATTTAATTTTCATTGGAGTAAAACGGTTAAAAAATCTTTAGATAATGTATTGTTTTTAATAATGCTTAAGGAATACAAGTTTCACTTACATTTCTTGAAATAAAAAAATGCTGATTTCGTAAATAGAAAATTTATTTTCACACCAATTTTTTTAATCTCTGTATTCATTTTCGAAAAAAAAAATTGTAACATCGGATCCATTAGGCGTTTTTACATGTAATGAGAATCGATACTTACTTCAATTTCCATGAAAATCGATTAAGGTTCATTTGGGAAATAAGCAACTCAGTCCATAACGTAGATATCTATTAAATACATACATAAATCACTACCTACCTCATTATAGTCAACTTTTGATATTTTATACTTGCTTAAATTAAATCTGAAATGGACTTATAAGTTCGATACTTAAATAGACCTATATGAGATTTTTACAAGTAGACCAAAGAAAGCAAAATTCTTATTTAAATAAATAACCTTGTCACATATAAACAATGTATTAACTTATCAATATTTTTTCTTATAAACTTTAACAATGAGGAATTTATGTGAAGTAAACAAAAACAATGCTTAAATTAAAATTTATATTTAACGGTATATATTTTTTAGTCATTTTTATCTTAATCTAATTTTTTTTAACAAATATTTAGTGTTTTGACGTCTCAGGATTGTAAATAATTTAGGCGTAATTAAAATCATTGCAATGCCGATCCGAGAGAAGGAAATCAATAACAAGATTCACCAAGACCTTTAACAGTGAACTTGAACGTAAATAACCGAGTTAAATATGTTCTGTTTACTGCTCTCTCAACTTGCGATTAAAGTGAGAATATATTTTGACTGATCTTCATTACAAGTGTTTCCATCACACAATAATATATATTTTTGTTATATGTTTAAAAATACAGAGTATGTTTTTTTTTTCATATAATAATATATATTGTATTTCAACTTCAGTTATTGTTAAAATATTCCTTGACATCTGAACCCATTCACACTTCTAAAGGTGTTGCTTGAGACTGGAATATTGCCAGAACTACTTACTGCTCCAAACGATCTTGGCCCTGTGAAAAAGTATTTTTACTAACTTTAACTCGTTCATTTGGAAAATACTATGTAGATTAGAATTTTGTTTAGGTTTGCATTCATATTACTACTAGCGGTTCTGATTAAAAGCTTTTATAATAACAGTGAGTCAAAACAATTTGATACGCAATATCTGGAGGGTATTATTTACGACTATTTGAGTTGTCTTGTTGTATTTATTTTATACTAACTATAATATTTAATTAAACCTGATCGTCGTTTGTAACATGAAAAAAAAATTTAAAACTGTTTACAATAAAATTATCAACAATTCCATAATAAAAGCTCTATCTAAGAGACTTGTGTGTTCGATTCGATCTGAAAGATAAAGCCAGGACAACATTTTCTCTCTCAAGATGATTTTATAAGAAACATAGGACCATTGCAAGACAGTCTTTTTGGTATTTTTTTTATCTGGGGAAAGCTTTTGAATCAGATCTAAGGCAGAAGATATAGGAAACATTGATTAGAAGAATGGTGCCAGTAAACCTGGTGAGATCTATTAAATCCCTTTACCAAAATCCAAAGGAAATGGTAAGGCTCAATAATCACACATTAGAACCTTTCAACTTTCATATTCCTTGCTACTCAAATATAAAACCAATGTATAGAACATAGTATTCATTAGAAATGCAGTAAACATAATCAGTAACGGTTTGACAAGAAGGAACATCTCTGCATCTGTCTTATTAAAATTATTTCTAAGGGCAATTGAGATGCTACTTAATATTCCTTTTTGGTTAACTTTTTTCAGTATAATTGCATTCTTGATTTAAAGAAATTGTTCTGTTGTTTAACTTTTCTTTGATAA